TGACACTGTCATGAAGAGAATCTGGCTGAGGCACTAATATTAAGTATGACAGGCATGAATTACAGAAGTATTTGAGAGACACACTGCAGCGCTTGTTTAGATCCGGGGAAAGTAAAGAAGAAATGAGTCATCCAAGATGTCATCCAAGAAATTTATCCACATCTTCTGGCGAAAACAAGTTGATTATGTTGGCCAAAACTGTGGTACAGAATACAGAGGGAGGATTTTGAATTTGACATTTTGAGTGTGAGATGCATAGAGTATTGAGGAAGAAATGTCTAGCTGTTGTGTGACACAGTCACTAGTGTCACTGTTTCCACTTTCCCCCCATCTGTTAGCCATGAAGTGATGGGACTCAGTTTATTTCAGTTCAGTCACTCAGTTTTGTCCAGCTCTTTGCGATCCCATGGACTGCAGCAGGCCAGGCCTCCCTGTCCATCACCAACTCCCTGGGTTTACTCAAACTCATGTCTGTTGAGTGGGTGATGCCATCCAACCATCTCATCTTCCATTGTCCCCTTCTTCTCCCACTTTCAATCTTTCCCAGCATCAGGGTCTTGTCTAATGATTCAGTTCTTTGCATCAGGTGGCGTAAGTGTTGGAATTTCTGATTCAGCATCAAGCCTTCCAATGAGTATTCAGGAGTGATTTCCTTTAGGATTAACTGGTTGGATCTCCTTGCAGTCCAAGGGACTCTCAAGAGGCTTCTCCAACACCACAGTTCAAAAGCATCAGTTCTTCGGCACTCAGCTTTCTTTATAGTCCAATTCTCACATCCATACATGACTACTGGAAAAACCATAGTTTTGACTAGATGGACCTTTATTGGCAAAGTAATATCTCTGCTTTTCAATATGCTGTCTATGTTTGTCATAATTTTTCTTCCAAGGAGTAAGTGTCTTTTAATTTCATGGTTGCAGTCACCATCTGCAGTGATTTTGGAGCCCCCCAAAATAAAGTCTGTCAGTGTTTCTACTGTTTCCCCATCTATTTGCCGTGAAGTGATGGGACCAGATCTTAGTTTTCTGAATGTTGAATTTTAAGCCAACTTTTTCACTCTCCTCTTTCACATTCATCAACAGGCTCTTTAGTTCTTCTTCACTTTCTGCCATAAGGGTGGTGTCATCTGCATATCTGAGGTTATTGGTATTTCTCCTGGCAATCTTGATTCCAGCTTGTGCTTCATCCAGCCCGGTGTTTCTCATGATGTACTCTGCATAGAAGTTAAATAAGCAGGGTGACAGTATACAGCCTTGATGTACTCCTTTCTCATTTGGAACCAGTCTGTTGTTCCATGTCCAGTTCTAACTGTTGCTTCTTGACCGGCATAAAGGTTTCTCAGGAGGCAGGTCAGCTGGTCTGGTATTCCCATCTCTTTCAGAATTTTCCACAGTTTATTGTGATCAACACAGTCAAAGGCCTTGGTGTAGTCAATAAAGCAGCAGTACATAAAAGCAAGGAACTCTTGCTTTTTCAGTGATCCAGCAGATGTTGGCAATTTGGTCTCTGGTTCCTCTGCCTTTTCTAAATCCAGCTTGAACAGCTGGAAGTTCATGGTTCATGTATGCTGTGAATGAGTTTGAAGTTCAAGAGTGAAGTTAAGGCTGGAGTTGAGAACTTTTTATTCCTTAACATGTGGGAGCTAATGTATTGATGCAGAACTTTTAAGATAGTTTATTAGCACAAACATTCTTTCCAAGGGCAGCTTGGAGACAATAGCAAATTGCTTCATTGAGCTTGTTTTAGGGGAAGTTCTTTATTCTCTCCTTTGAAGTATGTTAAAACTTCAGATGGGGAATTCTCTGGTGGTCTAGACTCAGTGGTTAAGACTCAGTGCTTTCACTGCTGTGGGCCCAGGTTCAACCCCTGGTCTGGGAGCTAAAGATCCCACAAGCTAGAAAAAGAAAAAGAAACCTTCAGAGAGATAAGGAAGGACTTATTGGGGAGCTTAACAGGCTACTTTAATAGCCTTGTTGTTAAGTTTGTTGTTCAGTCACTAAGTCGTGTCTGACTCTTTTGTGACCCCTTGTACTGTGGCCCTCCAGGCTTCTCTGTCCATGGATTTCCCTGGCAAGATTACTGGAGTGAACTGCCATTTCCTTCTTCAGGTGGTCTTCTCAACCCAGGGATCGAACCCATGTCTCTTGAATTGGCAGGCAGATTTTTTGTTTTACCTGCCCAAATAACCTTAATATAGTACATTTTAGCCAACTTCAAGTATCAAGGTCACCTTCCACCAGCTCCATGCTCCTCAATTCCTGAGGTCTGTAGCATGTATTTTTATAGAGAGTGTAGGAGATCTGCCTCTTCTGTCATGAATCTCTAGCCTCCTACACTTTATTCACATTTTCATGTCATCTGGGATATAAGCCATGTGGGTCTCAGATATAAAATAAAATATGGAGCTCTCTGCCTCCCCCTACTTCTTCCAATTACAGAGAACCCTCCATCTTTCCTCTTTTCTCATTTGCCAGTTCAATGACTTGCTCTGGTTCATGAGCTTTTTAACTGGCATAGTACGAATTTATGTCTCAGCAAACTTACAAATTACTGCATGTAATGGATTTTTGGGACCATTTATGAATAATTGAAACCACAAATGTTAAATTCTTGAATGCCAAGGGCCTACTGAATATCAGTATTTCATGGAGTTCCATAATGAACATTATGAATTCCAGTTTTTATGCCTCTTAAAATATTTGATAACCCCTGATCCATAGTATTGATATCTGTGACTTTATTACTCCTTTCTCTTTTGGAATAAATTAACATGTTAAACATATTCCTTGTGAAAATATTAAAAAAATAAATCCTTCTTTACATTTCGTAGAAGTAGAGAGAGTTGAAATATGATGCTTTATAGTTCGTATCTTTTATTGTATTTCTTGGTTTGCTTTTCATTTTTTTTAAATGGTAATATAGTAGATGCTTGTCAAAAATGCATTCAGACACATGTTAAAGTAAAATGAAAATCTTGATTCACCTTTTCCTTCCATCTCATTGAGTACTGATATATTGGTTTATGCCCTTCTAAATCTTTTCATTTGGATTTACATAGGTAAGTAATCAAATAGATATGTAGGGAATGTTTTTTTACAATCTAGATAGAATCATAGTGTGTGTGTGTGTGTGTGTATAATGTATATATATTTTAATTAAAAAAATCCTTGGATATATGTAGAGAGAGATCTACCTCATTCTTTTCAGTCTCTGCACAGTGTTTCATAAATGTATTCTCCTTTATTTAACGCTTCCCTGGCTGTGTCCTTTTTTCCCCTATAATAAATATGACAGGAGTGGGATATTTTCCCCTATTGTCCCCAAACTGTTGCTGCGGCCCAACACCCGGGGCAGAAGTACTAACTGTAAGCATCTGATATTTGAAAGGAGCCCTCAGCAGTGAGAGCTAGTCTTCTTACTATGGGACCTTTTGAAAGGGATGAAAAATTCACTGTCCCTCCCCACCCAGGCTTTATACTTAGAGAACTGAGACAAAAGAAGGTTGAAAGATTTGGAAGAGTGCTGTGTTTGGTGGAAGAAGTTATTTTCTCCCTTTCTAAAATCAAGAGAAGAGATGTACTCAAAGAGCGTTTATTGTGGAGTTCTGAGATGCCAACAGCAACAAGAGACTGACGTTTTACTGGCCCTGCTTAGCCAGTAAAGATTTGCTCACTTATCCCATTACTACCTGAACAGAGAAAAAGAAAACTGGCGAGAGTTGAGCCAGTCGGGGACTGCAGATAAGGAGGTGGGTCAGGATTGCTCTGTTTCCACCCCACAGCTACAGATCCTGGCTAGTTGGGGTCCTATAGTAAAGGGAGATGAGATTGGGGTGTACTTGAGCAGCTTGTGGGGAAAGAGTGTATATGTCGGCAGGATGTGGTATGAATGCCAGCAACTGAGGGCCAGCTCCACCTGGTTATCTATTACTATACAAGAACCATGATTTGATCTAGGTTCTTTTCGCAAGGTCTTTAGTCAGTTTGGATAACATTTGAAAGTTGGATAACATTTGAAAGTTGGCCGACTATATTTCTTAAAAAAGAAAAAACTATGGAAGCACCTAAGGAATTAGTCTAAAAAAGTCATGTTGATAATATCTTCAAGAAATTTCAGCTGTTGGATATCAAGTAACATTAAAACCAGCTTTTTCCAGTAGACAGCCAGCATACGTGAGTTCTTATTATACGCAGGGGTGAACATTTGTGTGTGTTTTCATCTAATTTCTTTCTAATATGTTTTCATCACATCCTTACCGTGAGGACTGGAGTTTATCTAAGCAATGTCTCCGCTGCACAGGAAGTGTAAGCAATTAAGAGGTCATTTTTAATAGGATAAGACTAGGCTTACTCTTTGTACTTGTGGTAAGTACATATTAAAAAGGTTCTGTAATGCTAATGAGAATACTTACTTGATTCAAAATACCTTTAATTCGTTAAACTGAAACTGTTATTCATACCACTTCAAAGGAATCTTATTTTCTAAGTTGGTCATAAGATAGTTTTCATGTGAATTTTTCTATGAAGGAGGATCATTTTCATCATTCAGCTGACGGGAAAAATCTTGATATAGAAGGTAGAAATAAAGTATTACAGTAGCTTGTAAGAAATTAAAAGAACAGTGCAGAAGAGTGTGGCACATTGTTTAACAGGAAATTTAAGAGCCATATAGGTTTTGGGGGAAAGATTATATTCAAATGAGCAAGTGTTGGATTTTCTCATGTTTCATTTGTATTTTTCTGGTTACTTTTCGCTGAATGTTTGTCATGATTGTAAAGGTTTGACATAGCTGTAAATTCCTTTTCTAATAACACATTATATTAAAGTTATTAAGCTAGAGACATAGACAATGATATTTTTAATAACTTTAAAATATGGATCTTAAAGTTTTAAAATATACATATTGCATGAATCTTACAGTTTCATGCATTTATGCTTAAATTTACACATTTCCTTTGAAACATGTTTTACTTATGATTTATTTCCTGATTTGTCTTATAGGAAATGCCACATTCATTTTCTGCAGCCACGTTACATAACACAGAGGTAAATAACACTAATACTAATCCACAGAGAAGCAAAATCCCAGTAGAGGCACTTGGCAAGGTTTCTGAACATAAAATCATCACTGAGGGAAGTTCAAATAGAGACAGCATGGCAAGAAGTTGTTCTGAGAGTTGTTCCAGTACCCAGAGCAAGTCTTTCTGTGATGAGCCTCAAAAATCCCATCCTGAATCCAGCTCTAATCCGCCCAGTCCTGAATGTGTGCAGAAGGCAACCGATTCAGTTTCACATGGTTCTGAAGAAAACAAGGTCCAGAGAACGTCCTGCATGTATGGGGCAAACTGCTACAGGTAAAGCGAAATTACAGGTAGCATACAATTCCATTATTTCAATAGCATGTAGCATGTAAATATATGCTGTAGTGTGTTAAAAGACTAAGAAGACCCATTGGCCTAAAGGTTAGGAGCTTTATTGTGTTTCTGCTGGTCTATACTTTTTCAGTATGCATTCTAGCAAATCCTTCTAGAGGCTTTTAAAATATAGTGGGGAATTAAATGTTTCATTGTAGATACGCTGACTACTACAAGAATATGAACTGGGGAATACAGACTTGAAAACAGAATCACTCTGACCCAAATACCTGTTTATTAATGTCTTATTTAGGTGTTAGAAAGATAGCTTCATAAGTAGTTTATGTATACAGTATAACTCTCAAGAGAATTCTAAGTTGTGTTTAGGCATCTTATTATACTTGTGCCTTTTATATTTTTCTAAAAATGCTTTTAAATCACCATGATGCCTTCAAAAAAAACTGAATATATATTTTCTGGATTGATTGGCTACTCTTCTACTTACTTCATTTGATTATATTGTATCATATTTTCTAATTTCATACCTTGTGAATTAGTTTTATGCTGTATGTTTATACTGTGTTTTCTCTATGTTTCATAGCCCTATTTCAGAAGTTTTTCTTTGCTATTGTAACTTATCAAGCTAAATATCTTATGAATACATTCTAGCATAGTTTATCTTCTATGCAATAGCATTTGTATATCACATATTCTGTTAATTTCTCATTCATTGTATCTCTTTAAGTGCAGTGGCGTTTTAACATTTGAATAACCAATTTTAGTGATTATAATTTATGCATTTATTCACAATTTTGTCTTATTTATGATGGCTTTAGTCCCGCATATGGACCATAATTGATAAACTTGTGAACTGGAAGTATATAAACCTTCTGTTATTTTGAATTTTTGAAAAATCCTGTTTGGTATTTGTATCAGTTCAGTAGATCTGCCATAACTGAATACCACGGATTAGGTGGTTTAAATAGCAGAAATTTATTATCTCACAGTTCAGGAGGCTAGAAACCTGTGATCAAGGTGTCGGCGGGTGAGTTCTCCTGCAGTCTCATTGGCTTATGGGTGGTGCCTTCTCATTGTGTCCTCACATGGCCTTTCTCTGTGCATGCACATCCCTGGAGCCTCTTCCTCATCTTACAAGGACATCAGTCATTTGGGATTAAAGGGCCTACCCTTATGAATTTATTTAATCTGAATTATCTCTTTAAAGGCCCTGCCTCCATATATAGTCACACTAGGGGTTAGGGCTTCAATATATAAGTTTGAGGATGGGGGACACAATTCAGTCTGTGACAGTGTTCAGCTGGTATTTGTCTTTGTTAAACATGATTTAATGTTCTATCAAGATCATAATGAATTCAGTCATACTTGACAATGACACGTTAATCAGTCATAGCTTATGAATATCTTTTTACCTTTTCACTCATTTTGATATACATAATTAATACCATGAAATATTTGCAACTGAAATCTTGATGACAGAATGCTTATATTTGTAATAAAGGGGAAAAAAAAACAAATTGAGTTCTTGTTATACATGTATATCATAGCAATCAGTTCAATGTATCTTTTTTCCAGCCTCAATGCCACTGCTTCAGCTCATGCCATGATTCCCCTGGAGCTAGTAAATAATCTCCGAAGTCTCCACACTTTCCCTCAGGTTCATATTTCTTCCTCATTCTTGCCTGAATGATCTGACTGAGAAAATAAAAGCAAAGATAAAAAATAAGAGAGAAAAAAAATCTGACAATTTTACTCTCTTATACAGAATCCTTCAGTGTCTAAAGGCTGGGTTTCTTAGCAGAGTCCAGAAGGCCCTGAACTGCCCTTGATTCTTCAGCTGCACCATGCTGTCAGGCTGTTGTTATGTCCTTTGGATGCACTCTTCCTGTTTCCTCACTTCGGTCCTGCTGAAAGACTCATTCAGTTCCTTTTTTCATCCTTTTCTGATATGCCTATTCTTCCCTACATTGCTCAGCCTCTATCTTACACAACTTTTTTCCTCGTACAGTTTCTAAAGTGTGCTATTAGATCTGATAGTTAATATCATAGCTCAGTCGGTAAAGAATCTGCCTGCAATGCAGGAGACTCGGGTTCGATTCCTGGGTCAGGAAGATCCCTTGGAGAAGGAAATGGCAATCCACTCCAGTATCCTTGCCTGGAAAATCCCATGGACAGAGGAGCCTGGCTGGCTGCAGTCCATGGGGTTACAAGAGTTGGACACAACTTAGCGACTAAACCACCACCACCACCAATTATTTACATGTTCTGTCATAATGGAAAATTATTGCTCAAGAGAAGTCTTATTCTATCCCTTGATATTATGCTATTAACTCCCAAGTCTGTATCTCCAACAGAGATTTCTGTACTAAATTTTAGATCCAGATAATCACTGTTTATATCACAGGCACATCAAGTTCAGCCTTGTCTAAAGCAGTCACATCTTCTTTCAATCCTTTGTGAAACTCGAAAACAACAAAACAGCATTTAACTTTGTAGAAACTGTTGTTTCCAAAAAACTTGTTTTGAAAGATTTTGTTCTTCTGGGGTCATATAGTTTTTTTGTTTAATAGCATATGGTTCCATTAGTAAACTGATTTTAAAAATCGGGCAGAAATTGAAACATCTGTTATTAGCATGTAATAAATTAATACTTTAATTAAAACTTGTAGTTTTATCTGAATAAGATCATAAAAATTATGAGTTAACAGTATATAAAATAAGGTTTTTATCTCTAATACATGTGCAGTGTCTCACTGAGGACCAAACCTCCCACTGCAAACAACTAGCAAAGCTGAACACCCATGTTTGAGAACATTGGAGGCAGTCACACTTTAAGGCTTCTTTTTCCTTTGTGACATTTGCCAGATTTTTAATGTTTCATGCTGAGGGCTAGGAGAACAGGCAGAGCTTTGGGCAGTCTCATAGAGCTTAGTCAACAACAATGGAGTTCAGTATTTGCCAAGTGGGAGGGACCCTGTATGGAAGTTATGGACATTCATGAGGGAAAATAGAAGCATAATAAAATTGAATATGACTATATAAAGCAGTAATAACTTTTGTGTTATGTAATGTATTTGTTTAAAATACTTGAAAATAGTACAGACGTGGTCAGGGATTAAAACAAGTAAATTTTGGCTATAGTTACAATACCTAAGTGGAAGAATACCATATTTGTTATGTCATGACTGTCTTAACTTTATGTGGGCTTCCCTAATAGCTCAGTTGGTAAAGAATCCACTTGCAATGCAGGAGACCCCAGTTCAGTTCCTGGGTTGGGAATGTTTGCTGGAGAAGGCATAGGCTACCCACTCCATTATCCTTGGGTTCCCTTGTGGCTCAGCTGGTAAAGAATCTGCCTGCAATGTGGGAGACCTGGGTTCAATCCCTGGGTTGGGAAGATCCCCTGGGGAAGGGAAAGGGTACCCACTGCAGTATTCTGGCCTAGAGAATTCCATGGACTATACAGTCTCAAAGAGTCTATACAGTCTGAAAGAGTCAGACACAACTCTTTATGTAGGTCCTCAGAGTTTATCCATGTTGTAACATGAGTCAGAATTTCTCCTGTTTTTAAGGCTGAATCATATTCTATTTTATGTATATACTTTGTTTTGTTTATCCATTCATCTTTCAATGGACATTTGGGGTGCGTCCATTTCTTGGCTTTTGTGAATAATGCTGCTGTGAACTTTTTTTTTTCCCATTTTTTTTTTATTAGTTGGAGGCTAATTATTTTACAACATTGCAGTGGTTTTTGTCATACATTGAAATGAATTAGCCATGGATTTACATGTATTCCCCATCCTGGTCCCCCCTCCCACCTCCCTCTCCACCCGATCCCTCTGGGTCTTCCCAGTGCACCAGGCCCGAGCACTTGTCTCATGCATCCAACCTGGGCTGGTGATCTGTTTCACCCTAGATAATATACATGTTTCGATGCTGTTCTCTTGAAACATCCCACCCTCGCCTTCTCCCACAGAGTCCACAAGTCTGTTCTATATATCTGAGTCTCTTTTTCTGTTTTGCATATAGGGTTATCGTTACCATCTTTCTAAATTCCATATATATGTGTTAGTATAGTGTAATGGTCTTTATCTTTCTGGCTTACTTCGCTCTGTATAATGGGCTCCAGTTTCATCCATCTCATTAGAACTGATTCAAATGAATTCTTTTTAATGGCTGAGTAATATTCCATGGTGTATATGTACCACAGCTTCCTCATCCATTGGTCTGCTGATGGGCATCTAGGTTGCTTCCATGTCCTGGCTATTATAAACAGTGCTGCGATGAACGTTGGGGTGCATGTGTCTCTTTCAGATCTGGTTTCCTTGGTGTGTATGCCCAGAAGTGGGATTGCTGGGTCATATGGCCGTTCTATTTCCAGCTTTTTAAGAAATCTCCACACCGTTCTCCATAGTGGCTGTACTAATTTGCATTCCCACCAACAGTGTAAGAGGGTTCCCTTTTCTCCACACCCTCTCCAGCATTTATTGCTTGTGGACTTTTGGATAGCAGCCATCCTGACTGGCGTGTAATGGTACCTCATTGTGGTTTTGATTTGCATTTCCCTGATAATGAGTGATGTTGAGCATCTTTTCATGTGTTTGTTAGCCATCTGTATGTCTTCCTTGGAGAAATGTCTGTTTAGTTCTTTGGCCCATTTTTTGATTGGGTCATTTCTTTTTCTGGAGTTAAGCTGGAGGAGTTGCTTGTATATTTTTGAGATTAATCCTTTGTCTGTTGCTTCGTTTGCTGTTATTTTCTCCCAATCTGAGGGCTGTCTTTTCACCTTGCTTATAGTTTCCTTTGTTGTGCAAAAGCTTTTAAGTTTCATTAGGTCCTTGCTCTGAACTTTGGTATGAAAATAACTCGTTGACATCCTACTTTCAATTATTTTTGCGTATAAATCCAGAAGTTGAATTGCTGGATCAATTCTGTTTTTAATTTTGTGGGATACCATCATACTATCTTCCATAGCAGATATACCATTTTATATTTCTGTGAACAGTGCACAAAGCATTATAGTTTCTCCACACTTGTTACATTTTCTGCCAACAATACTCAAAAAGTGTTACACTTTCTCACCAACACTTGCTATTTTCTGTTTTTTTGGTGGTGGTCATTTTAATGGGTATGAAGCATGATACATTGTGATTTTGATTTGCATTTCTCTAATGATTGCTGACTTTGAGCATCTTTTCTTATACTTATTGCTCATTTGTGTATTGAATAGAAATTTCTTTGGATTATAGACATTCCTTTGCTCATTCGTGATTCAAGTTTTTTTTTTTTTTTGGTCATTGAGTGGTACGAGTTTTGTGTATATTCTGATTGTTGACCACTCGTTAGGTACATGACTTGTGAATATTTTCTTCCATTCTGTAGGTTTCCTGTTCATTTTATTAATTGCATCCTTAGATACAAAGAAAAGTTAAATTCTGATGTAGTCCAGTTTGCCTAGTTTTACATTTCTTGCCTTTGCATTTGGCAGGATATCTTTGACAAATCCAATGTCTTGAAGCTTTCTCCGGTTTTCTCCTAAAAGTTTTGTATTACTCTCTTAGGTCGTATATTTATGTCTTGGATACATTTTAAGTTAGTTCTGTATATAGTGTGAGGGAAGGGTCAAACTTCATTCTTTTGCATGTGAATATCCTGTTTTCCCAGCACCATTTGTCAAAAAGAGTATTCTTTCCTTTTAGAATGGTCTTGGCACCTTCGTTGAATGGACAAAAAATCATACAATGGAACATTGCACAGTAATAAAAGTATACTGTTGTTACATGAAACAGTATGGAGTAATAATATTAACATAAAAAGTCATTCTCAGAGAAGTGCATATTTCCATTTTAATTCAAGTACAGACAAAACTAATAGACTTTTTTTTTTGGCACTAAGATGTTTTATTTCTTTGTAAAAACAATATATCAAGAGTGGTTTGAACAGTACTTGTCTTATTCTCTTCACATAACTTATTAAGTATGGAACAAGCATCATTTCTATGCCTGAGCTAATTGGGGCTTCCCAGGTTGCTCATTGTAAAGAATCTTCCTGCCAAGCAGGAGACTCGGGTTTGATTCCTGGGTTGGGAAGAGCCCCTGGAGGAGGAAATGGCAACCCACTCCAACATTCTTGTCCATGGAAGTCCCATGGACAGAAGAGCCTGGTGTGCTACAAATGAAAAGAAAAATTGTTATACACTTTTTGAAGTTTTCCTTAGCTTCCAATATTTTATCTTTTGTAGTGAAGTATCTCTGATAATTTCTTTAATGTGAAGATTTTTGCTAGTGTTTCTTCCTCTGAGACATCTTCATTCTTTTGTCCCAACCACGTTTCCAATTTGTGTTGATAAATTAGCTTCACTAAGTTCTGTGCTGTGCTGTGATTGGTCGCTTCAGTCATGTCCTACTCTTTGTGACTCCATAGACTGCAGCCTGCCTGGCTCCCCTGTCCATAGGATTCTCCCAGCAAGAATACTTGAGTGGGTTGCCATGCCCTCCTCCAGGGAATATTCCCAACCCAGGGATCAAACCCATGTCTCCCACATTGCAGGCAGATTCTTAACTAACACACTGTTTTATAACATTGCTTCTCAAAGTATGGTCCAGAGGCCTTTGCAGGGCCTGGTCCCCAAGATGCTTTTGAGAAAACTGTTGGGCCGAAACCAGTTTCATAATAATGCTTCCTGTGTATGTGCCTTTCTGCTGTGATTCTCTCACTCACCAGTGTGCAGTAGAATTTCCCAGAGGCTTATGATTTGTGTTAATGATTGAATGCAGAGGCAGATAGGAAAATCCAAATGCCCTCTGTTGAGCCAGACAGTATAGAAATTTTTGAAGTATAAAACAGTGTCTCCATCAATTTTTTTTTTTTGGAAGATAGGTATTTATGTTGAGATTTGCCTTTTATGATAATGTGTAAAGGGTTTACTGCTATTTTAAAGTAAATGTATTTTTAAAAAATTTCTCATTTTTAGTTTCTAATAGATTAAATGTTCTCAGTCGCTCAGTCATGTCCTACTCTTTGCATGTAGCCCATCTGACTTCTGTGTCCCTGGGATTTTTCCAGGCAAGAATACTGGAGTGGGTTGCCAATGCCTTCTCCAGGGGATCTTCCTGACCCAGGGATTGAACATGGGGCTCCTGCATTACAGGTGGATTCTTGCATCTGAGCCACCAGGAAAGCCCTTAAAAGCTATATATGCTTATAATATTTTTATCCTACATATATATTAATCTACATAGTCTGTTATATATATCCTATTTAAAGTACTGTTTGCAGTTTGTCTGTTGACAATCATGGTTTTTCCCCATGTCACCAGAAATTAATTTTGCTACTATGAGAGTTCTGCACTGACTAGTTATCATGAGTTTTATTTTTAACAATGTAGTGTTAGTTCATGTTCTGGAATAATCCGATGTGTATCGTTTGATTTTCTTCTATATCCTACTATTTTTTCTAGTTTATCTAGAAATCTAGTATATCCTATTAATTGTTTTTTCTGACAGTATGTTTGTCACTCTCATAGGAAAAATCCTGTCCATTTTCAACATTTCAGTCACCCTGGTGATAGTGATTATGGAGGTGTAAACATCACGTGTCAAAATGAAGCTGATGACTGGCCTGAATGTCCCTATGGAGCATCTTGTTATAGGTTTGTAAACCTGAAATGTTTGATTACATTGCTTTTCTGTTTAATTTTTGTTAACTTACTCAGGAGAAACTACAGGCAAGATTCTCATCTCAAGCCTTTAACTTTTTTTTAAGCTTCTATAGGTAATAAATTTTCATTTTATAACTAGGTAGGATTATGATGATTCTTTTAGACAATTCTAAGTTGTTGAAATTATTAACATTAGAAATGCCTGAAATTTTTCCTAACATTCTAACACTGCAAATCAGATAATTTAAGAACTGTCAATGCTACCCCATTATACATTTTATCCCGACTCCTTCAGTTCAGTTCAGTCGCTCAGTCGTGTCTGACTCTTTGCGACCCCATGAACTGCAGCACGCCAGGCCTCCCTGTCCATCACCAACTCCCAGAGTTCATCCAAGCTCATGTCCATTGAATTGGCGATGCCATCCAACCGTCTCATCCTCTGTCATCCACTTCTCCTTCTGCCCTCAATCTTTCCCAGCATCAGGTCTTTGCCAATGAGTCAACTCTTCGCATGAGGTGGCCAAAGTATTGGAGTTTCAGCTTCAGCATCAGTCCTTCCAGTGAACAACCAGGACTGATCTCCTTCAGGATGGACTGGTTGGATCTCCTTGCAGTCCAAGGGACTCTCAAGAGTCTTCTCCAACACCACAGTTCAAAAGCATCAATTTTTCAGTTCTCAGCTTTTTTTATAGTCCAACATTCATACATGACCACTGGAAAAACTATAGCCTTGACTAGACGGACCTTTGTTGACAAAGTAACGTCTCTGCTTTTTAATATGCTGTCTAGGTTGGTCATAATTTTTCTTCCAAGGAGTAAGCTTTTTTTAATTCCATGGCTACAATCACCATCTGCAGTGATTTTGGACCCCCCCAAAATAAAGTCACCCACTGTTTCCCCATCTATTTGCCATGAAGTGATGGGACCGAATGCCATGATCTTAGTTTTCTGAATGTTGAGCTTTAAGTCAACATTTTCACTCTCCTCTTTCATTTTCATCAAGAGGCTCTTTAGTTCTTCTTCACTTTCTGCCATAAGGATGGTGTCATCTGCATACCTGAGGTTTTTGATATTTCTCCTGGGAATCTTGATTCCAGCTTGTGCTTCATCCAGCCCAGCGTTTCTCATGATGTACTCTGCATAGAAGTTAAATAAGCAGGGTGACAACATACAACCTTGACCTACTCCTTTTCCTATTTGGAACCAGCGTGTTGTTCCATGTCCAGTACTAACTGTTGCTTCCTGACCTGCATAAAGGTTTCTCAGGAGGCAGGTCAGCTGGTCTGGTATTCCCATCTCTTTCATAATTTTCCACAGTTTCTTGTGATCCACACAGTCAAAAGCTTTGGCATAGTCAATAAAGCAGAAGTACATGTTTTTCTGGAACTCTCTTGCTTTTTCTGTGATCCAGTGGATGTTGGCAATTTGATCTCTTGGTTTCTCTGCCTTTTCTAAAACTAGCTTGAGTATCTGGAAGTTCACGGTTCACGCATTGCTGAAGCCTGGCTTGGAGAATTTTGAGCTTTGCTTTACTAGCGACGCCTTAGTTTGACATAAATCATTTCAGGATGTTATCTCTGCTCCCTCAACTCCTACCACTCCACCATTCTTGTGACCATGTGAAACTCACCCCTAAAAGAAAACAGTACCACTCCTCCCTCCTTCCATAGTGTCTTGTGCTCATTTGTGTCATGCAGAGCAGAATTTATCTCATGAGGCTCTGTTTGGTTCTTTCCTGGACTGGCTTCTCCTCCAGGCCATGTAAGTTCCTTGACAGTAAGTTCTTTTCTGTCTGCAACTTTGTTTAATGAATGAATGAACTTGAAATAAATGAAACCACCAAGGAAAGAAGTAGGATTCCATTCTTAGAGAGCTTTAATTCTAGATAGCTATTTTTCTTAGGTGATTTTCGAATACAGGTAACTGAATCCGCTGGCCTTTTTGAAATTGTTACTATTTCTGTGACTTTGTTTTCAATAAGAAAGCAGAGTAAGTTTCTGAGGCTGGAAGAAAAATCAAATCACCATTTGAAAATTAAGTGTTCCATTCCAGCAGAGCATCCTACAGATAATAATGACTATGTTGTCATCAGCTATATCAATAAACATGAAAATTTAGGAGAAATGACCAAATTTGTAGAAAATACAACTTGTAGAAAAGATACAAGAAAGAAAATGGGATAATCCTGTAACATTAGAAAAATTGTATATAAAAATAACAGGCTTCCATTAAAGAAATTCTAAGTCCATATGACTTTAATGGCTAATGGCTAATACCCTGGGTGCTCAGTTGGTAAAGATTCAGCCTACAATGCAGAAGACTTGGGTTTAATCCCTGGATTGGGAAGAACCCCTGGGAAGGGAATGGCCACCCACTCCTGTATTCTTTCCTGGAGGATTCCATGGACAGAGAAGCCTGGCAGGCTGCAGTCCATGGGGTTGCAAAGAGTTGGACATGAATGAGGGAGTAACACTTTCACTTTCACATACACTTAAAGAAGAAATACTCAATTTTTATTCAGAATGTTAATATTCTAAAAAATGTAGAAGAGAATATATTCCCCAACTTGATACAGAAACCCAGCAAGAATAATATAAGAATGAAAATTTACCTTTGATCTTCGATGTAAATTTTAAAAAAAGGGTTCATTAAGTGAATTAAATAATTGGTTTTATTCAAGGAATGCTTGCTTTGTTTAATATTAAAAAGTAATGTAATTTACTACATATCAGACTAAGTAGAAAATCATTATCAGACTAAAAAATCTATATAAAATCATATAATTGTTTCAATAGGTGTTTTAAAAAACTGACTATTCATTTATGATAATTCATTTAAAAGTAGGAACAGAAGGAAATGTCTTTAATATAATAAAAGTTTATCTATAAAAAAGTTTATGGCAAATATCTACTTAGAAGTGAGATATTCAACATTTTCTTTCTGATAACAGAAATGAGACAAGAATGCCTTTTCTTACTAATATTATTCAATGTTTTCCTAGTGATCAAGATAGTATAATGAGACAAAAAAAGGAAATGAATAAGGATTGGAAAGGAGAAGTAAAACTTTAATTGTCGACAAATGGTTTTATTATAGAGATAGAAAATGCAAAATAGTCTCTAATGAATTGTAAGTCTTAATAAGTTCTTAGCAAGATTGTTCAATATAAATATCAGTATACAAGGCCAATTATATTTTTATATTTCAGTCAACAATTGTGAAAAAAATCTTGAAAGATTTTATCTATAATAGCATCAAAAAGTATCAAGCTCCTAGGAATAAATCTAATAAAAGATGTGAAAGAAACAATTTGTTAGAAAAGCCTAATTATAAAAACTGAAATTTTCACAATTAGAAGATTTGATATTGTTTAAATTGCAGTTTCCCCCAAAATTGGTTTGTATGCAAACACATTCAAAATCACAAAAGTTTTTGTATAGAAATTTATGATGTGATTCTAGAATTTATATGGATAGGCAGAGGGCCCCAAATTGCCAAGACAATATTAAATAAGAAAGTTGGCAGACAGCCCAGGTTTGATGCCTGAGATAGGATGCTCAGGGCTGGTGCACTGGGATGACCCTGAGGGATGGGATGGGGAGGGAGGGGGGAGGGGGGTCAGGATGGGGGACACGTGTACACCCATGGCTGATTCATGTCCATGTATGGCAAAAACCTCTACAATATTGTAAAGTAATTCGCTTCCAATTAAAAATAAATTAAAAAAAAAAGTTGGCAGAACTTGTTATACAGTTACTGTAATTAAGACAGGTCAGTATATGCTCAAAGATAAAGTAAGAAGGCCAGAGCAGAACAGAACCCAAAAACAAACCTCTGCATACACAGGTGACATGTTCATGAAAAGAGTCATTGCAGGCAGTGAGAAAAGTGTGAATTTTTTCAGTTAATTTTATTGGGATACAAGTGTTTAACAAAAAAAAGAAAATTCACACCATAGTCAAAACCTGAATTCCAGATGGATCATAAAAGTAAATGTGTAAGAAAACAATAAAGTTTTAAAGATACATATAAGAGAATAGTTTCACAATCCCAAAGTAGGAGTTGTTTTCTAAGACAAGATATAAAAAGTAGTAGCTAACAACAGAAATTTACTGTGTAGCACAGGTAACTATATTCAGTATCTTATAATAACCTATAATGGAAAAGAATCTGAAAAAAAAAAATATATATATATGTATAACTGAATCACTCTATTTCAATAAAAAATCAATATTTAAAATGGAAAAGTTATTTATTGCATTAAAATTAAAGGTTTTTTCCATCAAAAGGCACCATTAAGAGGGTGAAAATAAGCCACAGAGTGAGAAAAAGATAATTACAGTGACATAATAGACAACAGACTTATATCCTACTGTTCTGTATCCTGAAAGTAGACTTATAAATTGCTCTTGTTTTTCTCTTAGTGACATATACAGACTTTTTGCTGAAAAGAACATCTAGAATGAATAAGCATGAAAAATTACTCAGTATCATTACTAATCAGGGAAATTTCACACACTCGCATACACACACATACACACACTCACATACACACAATCTTGAAGTAACTAATTCATTGCTCCCATTTACTCAACAAATATTTCCCAAAGAATCATTAAATATCAAGGACTGATGAAACAATGTTGAGTGAGATTACTTGTAGAACAAATCTATTTATGTCTGTCTATCTAGATTTTTGGAACAAAACAGCTTTCACAGCTCATGTCAAAATTTGTGGCACTATGATAATAGACCTTTTCATTTTTAAAAAACTTTTGTAATGCAGGCTTTTATATGTATACACAAGTTGGAGCCGGCGGGGGGAGTGTAGAATAAGTTCCAATGAAGCTGTAACTCATTTTCAATAATTATCAAGTCATGGCCAGTATTTTTTCATACATATCACATTTCCTTCCATCTTATCCCTACTCCTAGATTATGTTGAAATCATTGTTATCTTTTTCATTCCATTTTATCCATAGTTGTCTTAG